CTCAAAACCACCACTCTCACCAACAACTTCACTCATCCTTTTTTACTCCCAAACCAACCCAACCGGCAAAAATGCACTTCCCCACCGTCGCCGTCTTCGCCGCCCTCCTCTCGAGCTCTGCCCTCGCCGCTCCCGCCGCGAACGTCAAGTCCATGGCCGTCGCCTCCACCACCCTGGACCATTGAGAACACCCGCCGCGCCTGCAAGGCCAACGACTGCACCTGGACCTTCTCGGTCAATACCGGCTCCTCCAACACTCCCTGCACCTTCCACACCAAGTCGACCGGCTCGGCCCTGCCCAGCCGCGCCAACGGCGAGGCCCAGACCTGCGGCCCTTACACCGTCACCAGCAGCTGGTCCGGCCAGTTCGGCGAGGGCAACGGCTTCACCACCCTGGCCGTCGTCAACCGCTCCAGCAAGCAGATTGTCTGGCCCGCCTACACCGACAAGCAGCTCGCCAAGGCTGTCGTTGTCAAGCCCAACCAGAGCTACCCCGTCCAGGCCCTCCCTTAAGCTCTTAGCCTTTTGGGACACAGCTTTCCGACACAGCAGCCTCCTGCTACCGTCGAGGATTCAGTGATATAGGAGACCGCATGCATAGAGGAGGACGAACATACGAACAGGAGCTAGTTTTGGGTTTTACGCGAGACGTCACATCAGCAAGCACAACATATGCACAACAATGTAATACATTAATGTCATTCCTTCAACAATATTGTCCTTTCATCGTGACTCTGATCAATGCTCTGATGACCGAAGCCTCATTAATGAGTCGCTGATACGAAAGCCTGGTGATTTTAATTCATACTCAGTTGGTCCTATCCACACATGCCTGTCATGTTTTACACAGTTTTTTCATCCCCTCTTTAGCCACAATAATTTCTCTGCGCAAGATTAATACTTTTGTTTTAGATGTTCCTATTACCTATAGTGTGATCCTAATTCACAACCGTGATTTTACTCGCAGTTGTAGAAGAGCGCAACACCTATTTGATATCCGTCCTTCGTCGTTGTCCACTGTATTGGGCTTGGCCCGCGTCGACCGCACTGATTTTTTTGCTGAGAAGCGAATTTGGAATTAAACCTTCCGAGACACAGTTGCCTATAGACGAAGCCCGGTTTCATATCGTAGCACCTCTATGTAAGATGCAACTGCCACACTTCAAGGAAAATTCATAGCCTTGCTATATGCCCAATGATCCCTTGTGCCGAGGGCCGGCTTGCTGCTTGTCATGTCTTATATAATACCAATGTGTGTTCGCGAGGACCATGTACACGGGTGAATGCTGGGGTCTGACTATAAAAGGGCTTGTTGGCAGCTCTCACAGGGACGCAAGTGCACTTAAGCGCGTCTGCCAATGGAGACGAGTATACATTTCATGAACGATGGGATTCAATAAGCTGCATCCGCGAGGGGTATAGACCAACGCCTATTCCACAAACAGATCTACCTCCAATGGTGAAATGATGGGGCTTCATTGAGACATGGCGAGAGAAACTGAAATCATACACAGGGCATTTCGTCGTATTAATATCATGGTCGAGCTGAGTAAATATGCGCCAAAATCTGCCGCTAAGTAAAATCCGTATCCACGAGGCTTGGGCCGAACGCTTGTGGAGTGACTGAGGCTGGAGCTGTTGGTCAAGTCGAAACCAACCCTCCACATAGACTGCTGCACCCACAAAGGCTTCCCAGTAGCATTGTTAAGAAATGTGATACCGGTGGCAGAGAGTGTCATTGAACATCAGCACAAAAACAAAATGTCGGCATTGAGGGTGTGCCCCCAACTGGGATTGAACCAGTGACCTTTGCATCTCTCGGCTCGGGTGCTTGACCCTCAACCTACAAGTGCAACGCACTACCACTGTGCTATAAGGGCCTGAACTTGGTTTAGCTCAGCCGCGATAGCTCTGACACGGCATCAATTACCTTGTCGCATTGCGTCACATAGAACAGGACCAAGCCATGGCGTTCATCGAGGCGTGCATCCGAGATAGAATATAGCCACAACAGGTGGAAGATCTCAGGGGAGGAAGCGTGGGGAGGCCAGAGATCAAACTGTCAGTTGTTTCACAAGCCGACGAGCCTCGAGTCGAAACCTAGCTTTCAGATTCCCAAAGGCCACAATCAGTTATTGAAAAGCAGGTAGCCCAACGGGCTGCTTCTACTGCACAAGACGAAAGCGAGGACGAGCATGTCCCGGTTGACATCCTCCTCAGAGAAAGAGGTTCGAGGAATGAAGAGGCGGTGGCGGGTAAGCAGCGCAGCCTTAAGAATACGCTGCGTCTGGCAATGAGGTTGCACAGGGGCATAAAGCAGGCAACTAACCACCTCTCCGCCACGGCCGCGTGCTCAGGCCCGGTCCTTCAGACAACCTCCAGGCTTATAGCCATGGGACACGCCTATGGATATCCGATGCTGTTAAGCAATGCATCCCAATCATGATTGAAATGACCTCGTGTGGCATGAACACCGGCTGATCCGGAGAACCCGTAGAAGTTCCTCAATTGGGTCGAACTGATGACCTATGTTCCGGGCTTGGACTCGAGTGGGTGGCACAAAATGCCCGCTACTGCATGGACGTGAAGGCGGGAAAGCCCAGCGGATCTTGATGAGGCGTTTTTGCGAGGCTCTTTGAATGTGTCTTGACCCAGCCAATTGCGGCCTGTTGGTGGACAACGGCCCTAAGCATGCCTGTTTCGAGACTGATAACCGCTGAACAGTTACAGAGTTATGAGGATGAGTATACTGTTCAGCTGGTAATGATAAAAGAAGTTTGAGCAAAAGAGATTGAACTCTAATCCAGCCTAGAACCTGATTCATCGCCTGGGACGGCATAGCAATGTCGATAATCCATAAGTCCCAGATGGACCAGGCTACTCTCACTGAGAGGTGTGACTGGCTGACAGGCTGGACGTTAAAGTTGCATGGGAGTTTTGCTCGAGGGCACTGGCCGCATCGGGGGTGGACCTCGTTCCAGCGACCCGGCCGGCTGGAAAGATAGAGATAGGTTAAGCTGAAGAACCCTTCAAGCATCAAGATGAGGGTTTGGGTGCGAGAAGGGAAGCCCGGCAACTTGGCGTGCCGCTTCTTACACTTAAGGCATCAACCAATGGGTTTGGACTGTGCTTTGCGGCTTCTGGTCCCGAAAGCCATGTCAATAAGCTGTGAAATTGAATGGTATGGTGAGATGATTGATTCGTGGATGTGGAAAAGAATGGGTATGGAGCAAGGTGCACAGCCGCTTAGATACGGTAATGCACAGCTCAGGCGAGCTTGGCGAGTTCGCTCTGAGGATCAGCATGCCAAGAGCATCCAGGTTCTAACAAATCCATCTGGTACATAGAACCTAGCACCTACAGTGTCTTCTTCAGGTACCTCCCAAGGTGCCATGAATCAGGTCTAACATCGAGTCCAAAACATGCATATCAGGATGAGTGTCACAAAAGGACGACCGTCTTCTATATAAAGTCTTGTTTCTCTACCATAGACCTGCTATTCCGCCTGGAATCAACTCAGCTTAGTTTCTTCCATTGAGAGCTTTCTAAATAGAAAGAGATTCCACTAAACAACACCAACACCGAGATAAGGTATTTCCACCATCATCATGTCTGCACCACAAACCACCAAGGGCTGGACGGTGGAGGGCGCCGGTAGCGTGTCTTAAGTTTAGCGAGAATCTCGTCCTGCCTGAGCTCAAAGGCAACGAGGTTTTGGTCAAATTCCATGCCGCATCACTGAACTATCGTGACGTGATTATTCCTCTTGTGGGTTCTTGGCTCCCCATCATTCTTCGTCGCATACTAATGCTAGAAGGGACACTACCCTTTCCCAGTTAAGCCGAGTGTCGTTCCTGGCTCTGACGGAGCTGGGGAGGTCGTGGCAGTCGGTTCCAAGGGTACTCGTTTCGAGAAGGGTGCCAAGGTTGTCACACTGTTCAGTCAGGCGCATCAATCTGGAGAACTAACCCCCGAAATCTTGAGTTCAGGCCTAGGCGGGGCCGTAGATGGGACTCTACGACAATATGGGGTTTTCAATGAGGAGGGCTTGTCTTATATGCTCAAGAACCTTAGTTACCTGGAAGCCGGAACACTTTCTTGCGCCGCTCTCACGGCGTGGAATGCCCCTTATGGAGTCAGGCCGGTCGGTGCCGGGGACTGGCTTCTGACTCAAGGATAGGAGGTGTGAGCATTGCTGGCTTACAGTTCGCCAAAGCAGCAGGTGTTAGGGCCATCGCGACAACCTCTTCTCCCGCCAAGGGTGAGATGTTGAAAAAGCTTGGAGCAGACCATGTCATCAATTACAAGGAGAACCCGAACTGGGGCAGCGAGGCTAAGGCTATCAGCGGAGGCGTCAAGCATGTCATCGAAGTCGGAGGCATGAGCACTATGAAGGAGAGCCTCAACGCCGTCGGCCTTGATGGCGTCGTCACTATCATCGGCTGGGTTGGCGGACAGGCAGATGGCGGACTGGACTTCAATTTTGTTCAAAGCCGCATGGCTTTCTTGAGGAGTATCGTCGTTGGAAGCAGAGAGGAATTCGACGCAATGGTACGTCTGCATAACATCTGGCACAACAGCCTTACTAACATGCACAGATTCGGACAATTGAGGCTTGTGACATCAAGCCCGTTATCGATCAGAAGGTCTTGAAGCTTGAGGAGCTGAAAGAGTAAGAAAATTCTAACGTCAGCGACATATACCGCATTCTAACACATGTCAGGGCCTGCAAGTATTAATGGGATCAGAAAGCACTTTGGCAAAGTTGCAATCCAGATTGAATGAGAATGGCTCCCGAAGAACGAAGCTAGTTGTACAGCCAACACTGGCTGCCGAATTTCAGCTAAAAGCACACGTATTGAAACAACGTCGTTGATTCAACTGGAATGCATTTATGGAGGTACTGGCCACAGGTGCACACGACGTCAACGGGTCTAACCCAGAACAGTCTCCACGCGCAGGGTTCCAACATCAGTAGTAGTATCGACAAGATTAGCAATATATAACTGTATTGTTAGCACTATCTTCCGGTCTCGCTGGGTATCGATACCTTCTTCCTCTGCTTGCCTCGGAACCTTCAACCTACCCTTTGCCTCTATGATTGTGTCTCATTGATAGTATACTACCTTCACCCTAGGCTTTGAAAGTTAATGTCAGGCGCCCCTTGCGGAGCCACGGACTAGGAGTCTGATCAGGGGCTAAAAATCACGAAGACATGTATAGAAGGACTGAAGAGGGCCTCCCGGCAGCAGAGGGCCAGAACTCAGGTGTATTACAACCCCATATCCACTATCTTTTGCCTGCGAATCACTTGTGGAAGACCTCATCACCTCGCCCAAACGATGCTCTGACACTGATGTAGAAAGATAGAAGATCTTGTCGTTTTACATGGTCAGGGGAAGTTGCTTGGCCGTAATGCCTCCTACTAAGGAACAGATATCCCCTCTGCCTTACAAAAACCTTGGGCTCTCATTGCTGAAGGCTCGTGAACGATGTCTAACCATGATTGGCACCATCATAGTTACCCCTTATCACTTGCCGCCAAGGCTAAGAAAAGCGCCTCAACGAAGAGCTATCGTTTCTCAAATACTGCAGAATCGAATGAGCTTCTCGATGGGGAAGGTAAGGCATATCTGCAACCATTTCACTGGTTGTGGCTTCCGACTGCTTTGGCTCGCATTCACATCGCTGACAGACAAAGAGCATTGAAGAATGCTATACCTGCATGGAGTATGTCGAACCAAGTAGAAAATGCTTCTGCGAAGCCGAAACCGCTGAAAGAAGACTCAAGAGCCACGACAGATGCTTTGGAGCGATATCCGAATTAAGTCCCCGTCACCTGGTGCTGTCTCCATGTTGTATGCCCGCCAGACGCCCGGGAGAGTAGGCAAGATTCTTCAGCAACCGTCTTGGCGCAGTGGGCGAGTTCTGCGGGGGAGGACTGGTCTAGAACTGGGATGATTGCCGGCCACTGATGACCCGCTCGGCCGCTTCAGGAAGGTGACTAGATCCACAGCCTGGATGAGCTTCAGAGCTTGGAAGCTTAGGGAGCTCTGGCCCATACCCTGACCTCACGAGATCTAGTGGAAATATGACGACTTGGGTGTCTTTGCGACGCGGTTTCTCCTTCTGGAAACACACCTTGGCTTTGCCGGGCTAGACTCAAGCCTCAAAATGCACAATATTCTGGGTAGGAGGCTCAGAACATGCTGTGCTATCTAACACTGGCGCCGCTTGGCAACATTTGTCACAGCAAGTGAAGCACCTTCAATGGATGACTGCCACATCAACATAGTAATGTGAACTCTATTGTTGAAGAACGTCCTAGTGGCCTCTATCTGTCAGTTCCAGATGAGCTACGAGAGACACGTCCTGTGGGACCACCCAAGATGACGCGAAGTTGCGTACCGATTGCGGAGTTGCGTTGAGGATCACAGACAAGGTTCCAGCTTCCTTCCTCGGGCCGCTCCGATTGAACGTGGGGTAAGCACATGAACAGTCGAAAAGGAAGTTCCTGGAAACTTCAATACATGTCACGCAGGTGGCCATCTCGAGTCACAAGCCAACGAACGAGCAAAGACCACCACCTTCAGCCAGAGCACCGTACTCAATCTGCAGCGAGCCCAGCTTTGTCACCGCCGAACTCCGAATCGCAGCTGCCGAAGATTCGCACCACGCAAGAAAAGAGGCGCGGGGGCGATCGCTGGATTGGGAAGGTGAGTGCTCTCAGCTGCCGGAGCTACTGGAGGGGAGTGATCTACGTTGAGCCAATCTTGCATGGCCTGGGGCAAAGCAGATGCCGAATCAGGGTCCCATCCCCCGGCGCTTGAACCAGTCCACGCTACCCCGTGAAACGACCGGGCCAGTCTTCCCAGCGATCCAGCGACCTTCCATCACTCCAGTCGCGGCCTGACTACTCGCTGTGTGTAAGCGCCGGCGGTCCCTCCGATCGACGTGCTTGCTAGCCTAAAATCACGACATGGCTGCCATGGCGCAGATGGCCTCTCCAGGAAGCTGGGGAGAGAGGGGGCGATTGTCGCGCGTTATCAAGCTGCTCGACTCGGGGAGAGGGGCAAGTGATGCGACCTGCCGTTTCTGACAGGGTGAGCGACCTGATCATCAACGCGAGGGTAGGGTGAGCGCTTTTGTTGTGCCCATGAGGGGTTCGGTGATTGGGGAGCACGAACAAGTCACTGGCGATCACAAGATTGACACTCCAGTCGGCAAGCTACATAAGAGAAGTCGGGTTCGTCGCCATCGAGGAGGTGAAGCCTAGACAGTCAGTCCACACTTCACTCTTCACGGATCCTTCCAGTTCGAGTTGTACGACGCAAACATGAAGTTCCAGACCACCCTCGGCCTCTTGGCCGCTCTCGCGACGTCCGTCATTGCTGAGGAGAAGGTTCACTACGATGGGTACAAGGTCTTCCGCATTGAGGCTCACGATGATGTTGCCGACATCCACAAGCAGCTTGAGGGCCTCACCACCACCTCTGTTGGCTGCGGTGGCGAGACCGACCACGTCGAGATTGCCATCGCCCCTGAGGATCTCGAGGCCTTCGCTGCCCTGGGCCTCGACGCCAAGGTCATCAACGAGGATCTCGGTGAGGCACTCGCTGAGGAGGGTCCCGTTTCCGAGTTCTACGGCGGTAAGTCACTCGATGCTGATGTCGAAAGAATTTCCGCTGACGCATCTCCAGAGGAGAACACCATCGAGGCCCGCCAGGCCGGTCTTCCCGCCGCGTCGTGGTTCACGGCCTACCGCCCCTGGGCTGAGCACGCCACCTTCTTCAACCAGATCCAGGCTGCTCTGCCCTCCAACTCGGAGATCTTCAATGTTGGCCAGTCCTTCCAGGGCCGCACCATCTACGGCATCCACCTCTGGGGCCCCAACGGCAAGGGATCGCGCCCTGCCATTGTCTTCCACGGCACTGTCCACGCTCGCGAGTGGATTTCTGCCCCTGTAAGTTCCATTTGCCCGAAAATGCCAGACTCAGCTGCTGATACGATGGCCAGGTCGTCGAGTACATCACTCGTGAGCTTGCTGCTGGCTACCTTAACAACGATGCTTCCGTCCGTGCTTGGTTCGGCAAGTACGACTTCTACTTCATCCCCTTCGTGAACCCCGACGGTATGTATACATTTACTTCGCCCCTTGAAACTCGTCATATCCCGGACTACAGACTGATGAAATCGCAGGCTTCGTCTACACCCAGTCCACCAACCGTCTCTGGCGCAAGAACCGTCAGACTCGCTCTGGCACCACCTGCGTCGGCACCGATGGCAACCGCAACTGGAACTTCAACTGGGGCCTCACCGGCGGTGCGTCCACCAACCCCTGCGACGAGACCTACAAGGGCCTTGCTGCCGGCGACACTCCCGAGATCCGCGCCCTCCAGACCTTCACCCAGGGCCTCCGCACTCGCGGCGTGAAGCTCTTCATCGACTGGCACAGCTACGGCCAGTACATCCTCCTCCCTTACGGCTACAGCTGCAGTGCCCGCGCCCCCAACCACGCCACCCAGATGTCCGTGGCCGGCGGCTTCTCCAGCGCCATCCGCGCCGTCTCCGGCACCAGCTTCACCTACGGTCCCAGCTGCTCCACCCTCTACGCCACCACCGGAAGCTCCCCCGACTACCACAGCGGTGCCATCAACGCCGAGTTCTCCTGGACCGTCGAGCTCCGCCCCGGCCCCAACTCCTCCAACGGCTTCGTTCTGCCCGCCAGCCAGATCGCCGCCAGCGGTGCCGAGCAGTGGGCTGGTATCAGGTACGTCCTGAACACCATCTAAGCGGCCCATGACCGCGAGGGTGCGGGTTCATGATACCTGTGTTCAGAAGAGTCTGGTATTATTTGCCTCCCCTGCTATTTTCATGTTCTATGAGCGAATTGCCAAAATAAGAACAAATGAACAAAAATGAAATACCCATTCCACCATCAAACTCCTATGCCTCGTCTTGAGCGCTGCATCTCGTGACTCGTGACCACTGTTTTAGCTCAAATCGACCCAGCTGCTCGTGTTTCCATCTTCTTCTTGACCATGAGCAGAACGCCCGAAATGCCTCCCATGATGAATTCTTTACCAGGATCCACACCGGCTTCGTGCAGCAATCTCTCAATCGTCCTCCTCATGATTCTCACTACATCCTTTCCGCCCACAGCCTCGGGATGTGCCTCCCGCCACCGCGTCACAGGGCTCATGGTGCCAGCCGCCATCTCCAACATATCGAGCGTCATGGCGTCCTTGCCCTGGAAGAACCCACCCGCCGCATCCGTCGCATCAGACAGGTTCCACTGCTGCCGGTAAAACGACTCGCGGTCGAACCCATCAACCGGCTCAGCGACCGTCCAAGGCAGCGGCAAGTCGACGTACAGGCCCTGGCCCACGAGGTTTCCCTTCTCCATGTACGGCCGCAGATGCTCCTCCTTGAGATCAGCGATGGCCTTTTGAATGGCGAACGCGTTGGGCATGTCGCGATGGATAACGATGGAGCTGCCCGTCCAAAAGGCGACCGTGCCGCCGGGCCGCAGCGCGCGGACGGCGCGCGCCCAGAATCGGTCCATGTCGAACCAGTGCGCGGCCGTCGCGGCGGCGATTAGGTCGACGCTGCCGTCGGCCACGGGCGGAGTGAGGTGGGAGCCGAGATCTTCGGCGGATCCGACCTCGAAGCGCACGGGTGTGTCGATGGAGGTGATGCCCCCAATGTCGCGTGCCGTGGCGATCATGCCGGCGGAAGGGTCGAGGCCGAGAGCGTTCTCGAAGTAGGGTGAAAGCTCGCGGGTCGCGGTGCCGGGGCCGCAGCCTAGGTCGACGAGGGAGTGCAGGAGGCCGTTGGAGTTGAGGTGGTGCTGCAGGATGAGCTTGTAGAGGGCCGGATGGTAGCCGCGGCGGTTCCGGGCGTAGGCGGCGCCCTGCTCGGCGGTGTAGGCTCGGAAGGTCTTCTCAGAGGTGTCAGCAGCTTCCCGCGCGGGGTTTGGCCCAGCGTCAGCCATGTTGATGATGAGAATGTGGTGTTGCGCTGCGAGTCATGCGCTGGGCCGAGACCTAACAATGTCGTGATGTCTTAGGTTGTCGTGCTACGGTGCCTGAAACTCATGTTGCTGGCAGACGACGAGGATAAATGGTCATATGGTGTCCAAGAACACTCTCGTCAAAGAACCCCGCTCCAAGGCTTTCTCCAGGGAAGGCCTACGTAAGCCGGGATGCGCTCAATCAATGGCTGTGCCGTGATCGTCACAAAGCCCGAATGTCCAACGCGAGTCTTACCTCTGTTGCAGATTTTATTCTCGATGGCAATGCTTCATTGATTAGCGAACCTAGTCCTGCTTTGACCGCCTTCAGATGCTTGACGGGGTGGCACCGAAGTGGAAACGATGGCCTCATATTTCGCGCAATAAGTTGATCAGCCTCATGACTGAAAGGAGAAGCACCAGTTCACCTGGAGGAATCAGAGCAATTCCGGTGTTGAGAGTTTTTCTAAACCTTCACAGACGGTGAACGGATATCCATCTACGATTCATCAGAATCTCAACCCATCACGGACTTCCGATATATCAAATGAGCTAAATGTAAGCGATGGCTGCGCTTTTAGAGGGATCACAGAGCCATCTTTCAACATCTCGTCGGCAATTTCAGCTCGACGAAACTGTCATGTCGATGTACGCCAGTCGGACTCGAAACCTGCGTCAAAGCCTTCAACTTCTGCTCGCGCGAAGGATGCAGTTCACCCGGTGTGGAGCAGAAAACTGAGTAGCTCTAGTGATGTCATGGAGAAGCCCTTTCAGTGGCCTCGGCCCACCTGTGAATAAGGCGGAGGCAGAAAGTTGACATTTCTGCCCTGCCATGACTCCTGCATGTTTCCACGTGCGAGCGGCTCATCTTGGCAACTTTATGTCGCCACAGCATTCCTCTGAGCTCCTTGTCACTTCGACTACGGTGTCAAGCAGCGTCATCGTACCTGAAACTCTTTACTTTGTCGGGGTGATCTGGATGGTCGGATCGGTCGCGTGGTTCTGGTGGATTTTGACGCGAGACGCGAAGATTTTATTTTTACCAGAACTAAATGCTTGTTTCGGCGTGATCGGTATCAAGGTGAATCACAGGCTGCTGTTGAATCGGGAATCTGTAAGTGCTGGGGTGTAGTTCGATGGTGCCGCTCTGAGGCACGTCTATTGGATTTATAAATGCATAAATCTTTGCACCGCGAGATCCGACAAACGTTGAGCCCGTGCCAGTTGAGCACTTTTACCGTCCAATGGCTCCATATCGCATGTACTGTGGTTCAGATTCATATTTTCTCAGTAAGTCTTATATTCTCGTCCAACAATGGATTATCAGCCATCGTCCATACCAACACAGTTCAACATCCCGATAGGATCCAAAGAGCATGCAAAAGGGATATCTCAAGTTCACCAAGTAGTAGGCAAACCTTCCGATCTCTTCAAGACAACGAATCCCCACATCTAATTGTTGCATCCTGCCGCCGGGACATCGCACCTTTTCAGAGCGAGTCCCGAGGTATTGTGCCACAGCTCAATTGCCATCCCTCGTCTTCATCTCCACTACCGGGATAACGTCTTCAAGAGTGTAAGTCATCTGCCTCATCCAACAGACTGTCAAGGCTGCGCCAAACTCCCCTCCGTCACGTGTAACCTGTGCCATCGCCGCTGTCCTCAAGATCCCTTGAACCGACTTCCAAGGCGTCAAGGTGGGCAGAACAAGCTGGCACCTTGGCCAGCCAAGACACCAAAGCCAAATGGCGGGCTTTTTATGAGTGTTGCCAAACCACGACATGCGCCGAAACTCCACCGCAGACCAAGGTCCTATGTCCAACCTCGAGTCATGAGGCCCCCAAGCCAGCCCTGCAACACTGGCTCCCGAGACAGATTCGGCCGCCTTGTTGGCCTGTTGGCTCGCCGTTCCAGTAGCGGTCCAGTTTACATGTAAAGTTCCCACATCCATCGGTCTCACAGTGGGCCGTCAGCATCAAGATCCTGGATCATGGGGACCATCAGAACGCCAACTGGCGTGTCCACAGGTTGGGTTCAGGCAGCGTGCCCCGAAAGAGTGGTTCATTCCACCGAAAGGCGCCAGGGAGGCAAGTAACCTTAAACCTTGGCGGCCAAGCCCGTCGCCCAAGTGCCGTCTAATAAGATCCTGATGCGGTGTGGCCAGCCAAGCAGTCGGCTGCCGAAACGGCCCACCACCCGCACCCCTGAAAGGTTTTTCCAGCGGGCCAAGAGGACGCTGATGGTGGTGGGATGGCTCGGGTTTCCATATGCGGCAAGGCCGAAGACGACTTTTCGAATGGCCGACCCGTCAGCATCCCGAACGACTCTGAATTCTTATTACTCGAGGCGCGTTTAGGTCAGCCTCGCTTGCCTCGCATCTTGGTTTCGTCGAATCGTGATGGCCAACTAGCGTAAGGAGCATGGCATTGGCACACGTCACTCTGGTTCTCGCGACCGGCGAGAATGAGGGTCAGCGTCGCATCCTGGTCAACAGAACAGCGGACCTGCGCACCTCATGCGCGATGCACGAATAGAAGGGAAGAGAGGGGACCAAGCAGTCTTGGGAACCGCGAGATCAACACTCGTGGTATATATACGACTGTTGTGCCGCCTTGGAGGTGGCATGCTTACCCCGAGTTTCCACCCCCAGACCACCCAGAAACCGTCATTGCTACGACATTCACGATGTCTGAAAAGTCGGACAGAGCGGATACTATCAACAACCACCAGGGGACGGTGGATAGCGCCCCGAAGAGTGGATTCAGTCGCTTCTGCAGTAAGATGGGCGATCTGCCACAATGGAAGGTCAACGGAAAGCTTCTGCGCGGTGCCGCCTTGAACTGGGGCATCGGTGTCATCGCCTCCTGTGGCTTTGTGAGTTTACCTACGTTGCTCCGGAGATGAAGATCAGCTAACGTGGTGAAAGCTCATGTTCGGCTATGACCAAGGCGTTCTGTCCGGGCTCCTCACCCTCGATGACTTTCAGAAGAACCAGGCCTTGATGACGCCCCTCGACGCCTCGAACCCTCTTTGCTGGAACGATGATGGCTCACGCGACGAACGCTACTGCCACGGTGACGCCAACACCCAAGCAGCCGGCGTTGCCCTGTATCAGATTGGTTGCTTTTTAGGCGCTGTTCTCATTCTCTTCTACGGCGAGAGCTGGGGTCGCCGGTCGTCGACCTTCTGGGGCTCCCTCATCATGATTATTGGTGGAATCATGCAGGCTGCATCCTTCGAATATGGGCTCTTCGTCAGTGGCCGCGTTGTTGGTGGCATCGGGAACGGCATGGTGACCTCAACCATTCCGACCTGGCAGTCCGAGTGCGCACGCCCTGAGAAGCGCGGCTTCCTGATTCTCATCTCTGGCGCCCTCATCTCGGGTGGTATCATGATCTCCTACTGGGTTGTCTATGGGTTCTATTTCCTCGAGGGCCAGGTCCGCTGGCGCTTCCCCGTCATGTTCCAGTCTTTCTTTACCATTCTCGTCATGATTGGACTACTATATCTGCCCGACTCGCCTCGTTGGCTCTTGATGAAGGGTCGTACCGCTGAAGCCCGCGAGGTCATCGGTCGTCTCCTCGATCGCCCCGAGGACTCTGCCGAGGTTGACGAAGAGGTCAACCAAATCGCTGCTGCTCTCAACGTCGAACAAAATGGTGGTCGCTTCAAGCGCCTCCTGACCAACGGACCCTCCCAAAACCTGCGCCGTACTCTCCTCGGCATCGCCGCCCAATTCTTCCAGCAGATTTGCGGCATCAACCTGATTACCTACTACGCTACTTTCGTGTTCGAGAACTCGCTCGGGTTCGGACCCCAGCTCTCCCGTCTCTTGGCCGCTCTCAACGGTACCGAGTACTTCCTCGCCTCCCTCGTCGCCCTGCCCCTCATCGAGCGCGTTGGACGCCGCAAGCTCATGCTTTTTGGAGCCTTCGGCATGATGGGATCCATGGCCATTCTTGCCGGCACGACCTCGACGGGCACGACCAACGAGGACGGCGCGCCCCAGCTTTCGACCGCATACGGCGTCACGGCCGTTGTCTTCCTCTTTGCATTCAACTCGTTTTTCGCCGTTGGCTGGCTTGGCATGACGTGGCTGTACCCAGCCGAGGTGACGGGACTCAACATTCGTATCCAGGCCAACGCCCTGTCGACGTGCAGCAACTGGATCTCCAACTTCCTCATTGTCATGATCACCCCGCCGGCGTTCGCCAACCTCCAATGGAAGACCTACGTCATGTTCGCCGTGTTCAACGCGGCTCTCATTCCTTGCGTCTATCTGTACTTCCCCGAGGTAAGCTTCTTTTTGTGTTTCCGGGAGGCAGCACAGCATGGATGTATTGCTAACACGACACAGACGTCTAAGCGCTCTCTTGAGGAGATTGACCTCTACTTCGCCCGTGCCTGGTCAGAGGGCGTCTCTCCCGTCAAGATGGCCAAGACGATGCCCCGGTACACCGCAACTGAGCTCGACAACGAGTTGGCCAAGTATTTCAGCGCCGCGGATATTGAGCAGCGCAGGGGTTCCATGCTGCAGTCGCGGCGGCCATCCGCCATGACCCAGGCACCAGATGAGCCTTCGGTGAACAAGAACGCCACTCAGTAAGAGTTGTGTTGCGAATGTGAATAGATAGGTTGGGTGGGCTCTGTTCCATACTTGGAGGGGATGAATAGATTCCATTTTCGCCGTACGAACGGTTCTATTTCGCGAAACATGCCCCAATTGAATCCGGGAGTGCCTTTCAACACGGTTTTGCAAGCCATGCCACACCTGCCACACAACTAAGGAAGTACCATAGAAGAATTCTGCGAAGCGTGTCTTCGCCTGAAACTACCGTTTCTGGCTTCGTTACTAAAGACCAATCACGATGTGTACTTTCATAGCACGATGCTGTCCACACACGATCAGCATCTGCATCGACTCCTTAGGACTTTGGCGATTTCCCTCCCCCTTCTCCAGGCTTTCGTTCGGTCATTCGTCTTCTGAGCCCTCGCAGATCATCTTCATCAAACGGGGGCATCGGCTGCATTCTGCCCAAGGGAGAAGGTCGTGGATCGTCGTCGGCCAGCTTGGGCCCCTCTTCCTCGACCACACTTCGAGCTGGTGGTGACCCAATCCTTGAAGACGATTGCGATTCAAGACTTTCCTTCGTCTTCTTCTTCTTCTTAACACTGCCTTCCGCTCTCGGCGCTCCTTCTTCCTCTCGTATTGAGCTGGCTCGCCTTGAGTCCGCTCCTGTTCCGACGTCTGGATTGGAGAATACCTCCGGAGGCCATTTTCCAGTCTCCTCACGAAGGTTTCGTCCATCATCTCGGACGCGGGCACCGGTAAATCGGTCCGAGACTAGTGATTCAGATATATCAACATACCGTACGGCATGGGTTGAAAAGTCTGTAGTCGTGATAATGGGAGTTCGAGCAGTCTTACTTGGCCGCGGGCTTGGTGGCCGACGACGAGTGTCTGAAGACCTGGCGTGCCGGGGCGCCGTTCGAGGAGGTGGGGGTTGCGGACCCGAATCGGCACGACGTCTCCCAGGGGAGGGAGGAACCAGGTTTTGCCGATTATTCAGATGGTCGTTGTACGAATACAACTTTCGGGGGGCAGCGCCGTGCTCGTTTCGCGGCTGTCTCGGGGCTTGGCCTCTTCGCTTTGTTGAAGGGACAATCTTCAGGGTGCTGGCCACTACGGCCTTTTCCACGTCCCGAAGCGAAGCAATCTCGTCGGGCTGTATGACCTCTGGGTGGGCTTTTCGAAAACTCTCAATCTGTCTTGTCGCGAAACGCACTTCGCGTCTCTGGTCGACAATCTGCTCCGACAGACACTTTCTGATGACGACTATCAGCAGTCGATCTAAGCAACCTGCGCTCCACAATGCTCACTTACACCTGCTCTTTCAAGGATCGCAAATCTTCCGAGTCTGTTCTATTCTCCTGAAGAACTCGGATCTGCCTCATGAGATCCTCACACAGCATTGTGCTGATGAAGAGGTTGGCCGTGGATTTCGTCGCCTCCTGCATCATGCGGGACATGGCCACTGCAGCCTTTTTACGATACCAGCGCCAGCTGAACGTCAACCGGACAAAGTAGCCGTCAGTGCTGCCGACGTGTTTCTCGTCTATCCCGGTGTCTATCGCAAGGTCGCGCAGGCGCAGCTGAACCTGTTCGAACTCTTTGATCAGTCCGTCCAGAGTCGCCTCCCGCTCGGGGCGCTGATCCGTTTCGATCACTTGGAGGGACATACGAGCGGCCGTGAACAGGGAGGTGATGACGGCACTCATGTTCTTGGAGCTCGTGGCGAAATACTGACAATCCTCCGAGGCGTGGCTGAGGGCACTGAAGGAGTCGCTGAGCTTGATGAATTCTTTGGCAATCTGCAGGCCGACACCTACGACGCCGAGAATGGCGAACGCCTCGGCCATTATCGTGACGCTTTCCTAGTTTAATCTGACGGTCTGTTTGCTAGAGATGAGATGCGCAGGGTATGCTTCAGCTGGCGGATGCCTCGGCCTAAATGCTCCCATCCACAAGGGCAGATTCAGCCTTGTCTTGTCTCGCCCATCTTCTGTGCAGACCGAGGACGGTGTTGGTCGCGACTAGTTCTTTTCAGGCGACCGAGACGATGTCCTGGGCTTCATGTCGGTCCAATGGGCATTCCGAGGCTGACAGGTCTCCCGCTTGATTGGGTCCAACCCGCCACCTTCACTCTGAGGGTGTGATGGTCCCTGGATCCATCTGATACGCAGCCGGACGGTACTCGGTGTCCGAGAGGTGTGTGATTGGATCTTGGTTCAGACGATGGCCCGTTGTGTTTGGCCTCATGAGGAGGATGAGAGTAATGGTTCAATGCCGAGGGCTTCGTGGCAGCCTTCGCTCTGCTTATGGCAGACAGTGCTCGTAATGCAATATGACCAAGGCTCTCGATGAATGAGCTGTGTTCAACATGGTGTTTCTTATGCACTGAGGAGCCTGGGTACTCAACAGGCGGATTGCCAGGCAGATTCCAGCTGTCACGGCCTGTTCAACACCATCGGTCGGGTATCCAACCACAGCCTCGGGGACTCTGGCTGAATTGACCAGCCGTCATGAGCCCGCGCAGAAGCTTCGGCATTGTTTGGAGAGCGGGCCCGGAACCAAGACCTTTGCCCGCAGCCTTTCCTACCATGTCCTGACTCCTGGGAGATGGGGAACAGCTTTGACGGCAGGTCAGTGCTTGAGGGCGAGCAGCAAAGTATGAAACGACTGCACTCTGAGCGAAAGCCTTGTAAGATACATCCCTTGGCATCGGGACCGGAATAGACGGACTCAGACAAGGCTCTGGACCACATCTGGCCAGAGCCTGCCGGAAGCTGCAAAACGTCGATCACCAACCACGTACGACAGGTCACAATCATCGAGGCTCATCACGGCCTCCCATGTAGACCTCGTCGGCAGCGCAGCTGGCACGGTGACACCGACGTAACTTGTGGACGCAGCAGCCTAAACACCCCTCTCTTTATCCAGATTACGCCGGAACGCTGCTCTCCCACCTTGCCCTCCCTCCCACCTTGCCCACCCAGGACCCCCTCCGTCGAGGCAACGCAACGACGCACGCGGCCATTGCAACGCTCCGTCACACCACCCCTCGCCCCGATTCAGACAAGATCAGCCGCCTCCCTCATGTCGCGCCTCCACTGCTCCCTGACCTCCCGCACGAGCCCCGGCGTCGCAAACACATCGACCGCCGTGCCGGCCATGGCCCTCGCGACGCGCATGGCCCGCTCGAAGGCGCCGCGCGCGCCGGACGCCTTCTCAAAGTCGCGACTGTGCGGGGGGCCGGCCTCGACGCCCGGCGGAATGGCAAAGCTGACATTCATGCTGGGCACGGCGTAGCTGACGTCGCCCTGGTCCGTACTGGCCTTGACCCAGGTGGGGCGGCCGGGCGGCGGCAGGTGCGGCGGCGGCGCGTAGAGAGCGATGGCGCGCCAGTGCCGGGCGAAGCGGCGCCGAGCACCCGTTTGGGCTCGGAGTCGTTGTTCAGGGAAACGAAGTAGAGTGTCAGGTTGGAGTCCATGCCCACTTCGCCAAGGCGTTGTAAGCCGTCACCTCGGACAGTGTTTCGAGATAGGATAAAAAAAAAAAAAAACACTAAACGATACGTTATCTCTTTATATCTGATGGTGTCGAACGGTCTTATCAAAAAAAAATACGTAGTATAATAATAGAGTTGTATATCTCATAGACTATAATACA